CTCTTATCGTGAATAGCAGGCTCCAGCGGATCATATGGGTAGACCTTTCCATTGCTAAGCGTCGTCTGCTTGGGGTCTCAGATCCGATCCAGCCAATCACTTGGGCACATGGCAACCATGCCGCATCTGATTCCGCCCTTCACAACTCTTTCATAACGCCCAAAAGTGCACACATGACATAGCCAGGCTTACGACGACACCAACACATACACTGTCCTGAATGGGTCGGTCAACATGTTCCGGGGCCGAAGGCTGAATATTAGGTCAACAAAGAACCGGGTTCGAAGAATTCCAAATGGGCAACTCAACAGACGCAGAGAGCGATAACCATGTCCTTCAGCATTTATCATTTATCAGAACTCAGAATGACGAATGTTGGGAAATATCAACGTGAATTCATGAATCTCATTAACAAACATGCCCATAAAACGTGATATGGTATCTCAACCCATTCAGCCAGACTCAATCCCCATAACGGCCACCTGCAAACAGAAACTCACCCCTAGTAAGAACTCCAAGAAAGAATGAACCAAAACTAAACCACACAAGAAAAGAAGACTCAAAGGCCAAGGGCAAGGGTAGTACTAGTACAACGAAACGAGGGCACTGCTATCAGTGGGAAGACAAGATAGAATGAAAAGAAACCAAGGGATATCGCCCGAAAGCAACCGACGTGCGAGTGATGAGCCCTTATTTATCCATCGAGGGGTTGGGCCCGACTTTGTGAAGCTTGGCCTTGATCTTCTCCTTGAGACTCTTCTTCTCCTTGTGCGACTCGGGCAAATCCCCCGCGACACCTCCAGAGTTGGGATCTCTAGTCACACCCTTTTGTTCGAGGAGACCTTTATATAAGCCAATGGTTAGCCAAATCAGCCTGGCAAGATTGCAAGGGTTAGCCAAGGTAAACTCACGATCGGCTTCTCTTCCAGCGCCAGGCTTGGTGGCATCGAAATCGCCGCCATCAGCATTCAACCCCGAGCTCCTGACATACAACAGTCCCTTGTTAGCACCCTCTTTGGGGTCCTCTTCCTCTTCAGTCTTCTTCTTGTTCAAATCGCTCGCGCTGCTGTTGGAGGACGAAGATGAAGAGTCGCCAGCGACCTTCTCATTTGCCTTGCCAGCATCGCCGCCATGCTCCTTTGCTACTTCAGCAACGGGGCGAGGGCCCGGCCCGTCGAGCTTCACTGGGTTGTCGCCGACGTCGAGGCCGCCGTGGGTGTCGTCGACGTTTTCCTTGGCTTGGACGTTGTCGGGTTGGACGGCCGGATCCGAGGGTGAGCGGACGTCGTTTTGGTCCAGGGAGGCGTCGCCTGGGCCGTGGGAGGAGTCTTTGAGTTTTGTGGGGTTGATGGCAGGTACGTCGTCTGTTTTGGTGGTGTTGGGAGTGGTATCAACATTTCGGGTGTTATCAACGTTGGAGGTGGTGGTATGAACACCGGAGGAGGTGTTGACATTGGAGGATGGCTGGTTCGAGGTGCCAGACAGGGCGGTCATGGACTTTTCGACCTCGGAAGATGTAGGTAGTGTGGCGTCTTGTTTCTTCTCGTGCTGGGGGGTTGCTTGGTGGACGTCTTCGACATGCTCGGGAGGGTCTGAGAGGTGGTTAGTAGGCCACAAGTGGTGTGATATGATATGACTTGTAATGGAAGGAAGTGCTCTGGTGTCCCTTGTTAGCAGAGTGTCGTCAATTGTGGAGAGTCTGTCTGGATAAACATACCACCCATGTTGCCGGCGTCGTAGGGTTCTCCCTTGGCCACATCGCCAGTCTTACCCGAGACGGGCTCCTGAGAGGTGGGCGTTCCCCAGATGACCTTGGAGGCGGCCTGGGTCATGTTGCTGATGGTCTCCATATTGGCAGTGTATGATTCAAATGATGATTACGAGGTTTGTTTGAGATGTTTGCGTAGGGACAGATGGTGGGCTAAGTTTGGTTCACAGGACAAGATTTGGATTGTTCCAAGAAGGCTCAGGTAAATTGCTGAGAAAATACGACCACAAGGGATTACGTCTGTTTTATACCTGCTTGGCGTCACAAGGGCAGTCGAGAGCGGAAGCTGCAGAACTACGTACATCACGGAAAGAGCATCCCATTCAATCCCAGGGTCGAGATTCCGGGAAGGAGGTCTGACGTCTTTGTTGCGGGCAGCAGGTTCTCAATGAACCAGTGGAAGGTGGCAGATGATTTCCGTCAGATTGGTCCAATAGATTTCCTTGGTCCCTTGGTGTAGCAATGAGATCAGCGGCACCGCGTGTAGGTGAATTTGTTATCAGAAAGGGAAAGTCCGTGGCTATTGCGTAATGGTGCACCACTTTTACCGTCAGTTGACAGTGGTATATAAGAGGGAAGGAAGGGAAAGGCATCATGCTATCTGTCCAGCATCTCTCACCTCTGCCACTGATATACTGACGAAGCTTGTCAGTCATGGAAATGAGAATCGAAGCAGCAAGCAGCTGTACTCAAAATACTGGAATTACTTATGAGGGAGCTGGTGGAACACTAACAGAAATCGTTATCCCTCCCATAATGAAGAGGGAGGGGTTCACAGCGGGACGAGCATGACGTCACAGGGGACTCCAATTCGTGATGATGTTCTCTGCGGGGGTTATGCGGGGGACTTCAACGTGTGGGGGACATTTTCTTTGTTCAAGCTCTGTGATGATGGCTCGAATTATTGCTCGCCAAGATGTTCAAATTGGGAATGTATTCAAGTGAGCGGCGGAAGAAGCCATAAGCACCTCACAGCAGCCCAATTAACAGTCTCTCTTTCAATTCTCGAACTACAATTTCTAGCGTCATAGCCCAGTTCATATCTTCCTTCTTCTTCACCATCATATAAATAAGATAATGATTCGGGAATTAAATGAAAAACAAATAGCTCGTATAAATTTCAATCTTCATCATAAGGGTATCTTTCCTCCTCCTATCAACACGAACTGCTTTCATCACTCATCAAAGCGTCGCAGTAGCCAGTCTTCATCACGACTTTCTCCAAAGCTCACTATTATACTCCTCCTCTCGACTCAGAAAATAAATCATGAAAAAAATAACATAAAAAGGAAAAAATGAAACACATTTCTCATCTGCCTCTTTGACCTCTTTCTCTCTCTCTCTTCCTACCTCTACTATTACCCCCTTTCAGCTGCAGTGACGAGCTATCATCTTCACCTCAAACCCCCGTATTCTCTTTCGCAGCAGCCTCAGCCCCCAAAACCTCCTTCCCAACACCCAAAGCCCACCTCTCAATCCCCTCCCAATCCCTTTCATCGTCCTCCTTCATGAATTTGCTATCCTTGGGAATACACCACTTCAGCACTTTCGTAACAATCCTCGGCGCAAGAATCTCAATCTGCCGTGGACTCCACATGCCCCTAAACAAAACATGCCTCTCCAGCACCTCCTCCTCTTCCTTTTCCTTTTCTCCCCCATCGACCAATGGGTAAATCGGCCTCTTTCCCAGTGCTTTACGCAGGTAAGTCTCCACGCTAGCCTGCTCCGAGTTGAGCGCGTCTTGTGCGGGGCCTGGCATTCCTACCGAGAAGGCGAATACCTTGGGCGGCAAGAAGACCTGACTTTGCTGCTGCTGCTGCTGCTTGTTTTCTGCCGGAGGAGACTCTTCATGATGATGATGAGCAAGTGAGTTGATCAAACCACCCCCTTTGGTGGCATGATGATGGGCAGGGGCACAACATCTTCCCCCCAAAAAATCTTTATTCTGCGCCACAAAATTCCGCCCGGAATGGATCCATTGTCCCGTGTGGATAGCCGATCCTATCACCACGGCCTTGTACTCGACTTGGGGCTCAGGGGGGTTGGTGATGACCGCCGAGAGAGGGTTGGCGTGGATGGTGTGGTCTTCTTCTCCTTCTGCTGCAGGTCTTAGTGCGGGAGTAGCTGGCTCAGCAGGAGGAGTCGCGACAGGTGTCTTGGGGATATGGAACTGTTTGTGGAGGGAAGGAAGGTCGGAGACGGACTTGCAGTCTACCCGCCAGGAGGTGGTTTTCTCGAGGGTCGAAGCGATCCGCTCTGCTATCTCGCGGGTTGTTCCTGTTGAGGTGGCGTAGGCTACTAGGATTGCTGGGTTGAGTGGGGGAGGCATCTTGAGTAGCTAGATAGGTGTGGTAAAGTGATGATAGATGTCGAGGTAGTATGTAGATATGTTGATGGACTAGATAATAATTATCCAGAAAGTATGCAATCACTGTTGTACACAATCGAGTGATGTTCAATGATATGTCGTTGTTCTTGTAAAGTTCTATAAAGGATTCTCTCTCGAGAAAAGAAAAGGAAAAAAAGGAGAGTCCTCTGCCGGTTTAAATCCACAAAACAAAACATCATGAGATTTATCCCCAACGGGGCAGAGGCCCGTTGCAGCAAATCCAGTCCCAACAAAAGTTAGATTTCCCATCTTTATCACGAGCACATACAATTCATCTGACGGTTGTGCGCGGCCTTTGTCTTGTTTGTTCGGCCTGGGTTACGGATACTGGTTCCAGAATAGGGGCTGGGTGGTGTGATGTGGTGGTGCACATGTTTTGTTCCGCATACGGAGGGAGCATCACGCATTTGTGGTAGCACCACCCAATAGGGAGGGAGGCAGGTAGTTTTCCTTTTGGCTGCGTAATCACACCTTGAATCTTCCAAGATCATCATCCATATTCTTTTCGCTTTTTGGCTTGTGATCGATCTTGGTAAATCCAACGTGGAGGATATTCTATTGCCTGATTGGGACAGTGGGACCCGAAGAAGGGGGAATTATTCTTGAAGATGATCATACTGTCCGTTTTGGAGGGATGCTAGTTGTCATTTTATATCTTTTCACAACTTACCTCCTCCTGTGCCAGTTGTTCAATGTGTTCTCCTTATTTCTACACGTAAACTTCGGTACGCGGTACCGAGTGACTGACTCGTATATATGCCCATTTAGTCAACCGTCCTTCCAACAAATCCACAACGCCCTCCGCCCCACCCAGCTACAGCGAATGTCCACGTTCGCAGATAATCTTCCGTAGTATAGTGGTCAGTATGTGAGCTTGTCAAATCCGCCCCTGGCAGTCCGATTCGCTCGAGACCCGGGTTCAATTCCCGGCGGGAGAGATACACATATAACGGTGGGATCCAACGGAGGTTGTGGTTCTTTTTTTGTTCCAAAAAAAGATGTATTCATCTTTTTTATTTTTTTTCTCTTCGACATTTGATCGCCTACAATATGATATGCATATCTTGATTCGGAAGAGCAAAATCAGCAGCATGGCATAGTAGACCGAGGATGTTTTTTATGAATTTATTTATGTACTCTTGCGAACATGAAACGCATCTAACTGACTTGTAAATACACTGAAGGGGTATATAATATATACACAGGAAGAGAAGAGAACTGAATAGCAAGAAAAGACAAACCAAAGCATATACAGGAAACTGGGATGGTAGATGACAGACAGTATATGAAAGAGAGAAAAAAGAAGAAGCAAGACACAAGAAATGAGAAAAGGAAAATGGCCTATATACAAGTTGTGGCCAGGTCTTTATGCAAGAAAAAGGAGATAATGACCGTGTACAGGAGGGAAAATGTGACAATGAGAAAGAGACCGCATAGACAGAGAAACGGGAGGAACTTGAAGACAGAGGAAGATATACAAGAAGAAATATGTAGGGGGAGAAGATGAGGTGGCGTGGCCTATATACAGTGGGTGGCCGTCGTGCATGTCATGTAAGTATGTACAGAGAAGAATGAACAGAGTAAAGAGAAAAATGAGCGGAAATGGTCATGACAAGGGAAACGGACAGACGAGATATAAACAGGAGACTGTGGAAGTGACACAAGAGAAATACAGATAGGAAATGATCATGAGAAGGAAAAGGCCGACAGAAAAGAGCAGAGAAGCGAAAAGGAACAAGGTCAGCTTGGCAGGCGCCGAGGTAGCCACCTAGTTCACCTCATCAACCTTGACCTTGACCGAGGCATCCTCGCCCTTCTTCTCCTCAGTCTGCTCCACCATCAAGACAGCCTCCTCCTTCCCCTGCACCTGCGCATGCAAGACAGCAACAGGAGCATCAGCCTTTTCAACCTCAACCTTGATCACCCCCACAGCCGGGGCAGCAACCGGAGCAGTTTGACCAACCAACCCGTCAACACCAACACCCATCAAGCTCGCGGCTCCGGTGCCAGCAGCTCCATGTCCAAAGAAGCCCAAAAAGAACGAGCACCCCACCAGCAGCAAGACCATGACAGCCCGCGAGACAAGCGTCTTGAAGCTAAGCGACAAAATAGCAACAAGCAAGCGACCAAGCGTCTCGAGCACAGGCCTAGCATACTTGTTATAAGCAGGCGACTCGGCCATCTTTTCCAAGATAGCATCAATCTTCTCCCTGACCGACTCGGGCAGGATCTTCTCCAACATCTGCTGCTCCTGTAGCCGAGGAGAAACAGCCCGCTGGCCCCACGAAGTCTCGGCCTCGAGCTTCCTCAGCATGCCATTCTCAAGGTCAACAGCGTCTCTCTCGACGATATAGACAGGCCGAGTGCCGAGGTTCTCTTCCTCGTCTGTGTATTCCTCGGTCTTCTCGCCAAAGGCAACAGCGACCTCGCTCATCTCCTCGCCCCGGCTCTCCATCTCCAGACCTCGGCGGACCCGTCTGCCGAATCCGACCAACTGGCTGGCCCTCCCGCCCGTTCTGGAAATCTCCCTGAGCTTGACCTTCTCCTTGAACCCTTGCACCCGCGCGACGTTACCAAAGCTCACAGTCAACAACTTGGGCTGGCCGCTGACTACAGTACCAGCAACATTTGAAGCATCATTCGGCGCGACGTCGTCGTAAGCAAAGGTATACCCCCGACCATCAGGGTGCGCAGCGTGGACAACTCTGCAATAGTGGTTCGTGATGGGGTCCTTGTAGTAGTTCTCGAGCTTCTCGCCGTCAGGCTGGTTCGTGTTGATCAACAGGGTACTCCGGTTGAACGCGGCAGAAAGACGGGCAATGATGTTTCCGAGCTGCTGTCTGTTCGGTCCGTCCCATTCCGTAAAGGCCCCACCGGCGCAGGCAAAGATGTCCTTGTCGCTGGGCTTGGGAATGGAGGCGATATTGCCAAAGACGAGGCTGCTGTTTTGGACACGGCCCTTGACCTGTCCCCACTGGACTTGGGTGTTCAGGTTCAGGTCCTGATTCGAATATTTTTGCCAGACGGCGTCAACATACGGACGCCAGTATCCGTTGAACAGACCTGGCTGGATGTCCATCATCTTGGTAGGGTGCACGGCGCGAAGGTTCTCGCCCTGCCGGCCCTTGACGATGAGCCTGTCCCACCCGGCGCGGTCTTTGTTGTTCTGGTTGACGAGCTCTCGGCAGATGCCATCAAGTCCGCCGGCGGGGAGACCGGGAACGAGCTGGGTCTGGTTATTCTCGGCCGTGAGAGCCAGAGACACGGGCTGGCTGCCGACAAAGTCGACGTAGGTGACGTTGGCGAAGCACTCCCACGAGTTGAAGGTCAACTCGGCGAAACCCCAGTGGAGAAAGTAGTTCGGGTCATTGGGTGCGGCGGCGGAGGGCTCCACCAGGGCAGGTCCGTTTCCGCCAATGTTGAGGAGGAAGGTCAGCTTGCTGTCTGGGACGAACCAGATGCGGCCGCCGATGATGTGGGGGATCGTCACGGTCCGAGAGCTGCCAGGGCCGCCGAGGCTGATGGCACAGTCCGCGGGCAGAGGGGTCTGGTCCCGGCTGGGACTTTCGGGCATGTAGCCGGTGACACCGTCGCTGCGGAGGAGCCAGACGCGGTTGTTTTGGTTGACGTTGAGACCCGTGATATAGGCCCACACGTTGGAGGATTTGGTATTGTTCTGGAGGTTGATGTTGAGGGTCGAGTTCGTTGCAGCCGCCGCCATGACCTTGAAATCCACTCTGGGGTTCTCCGCTGGCGCCATCAGGATGTTGTGTTTGGTCTGGATATCCAGAACCTCCTCGAGGGTAGTCATCTTGGCTGATTTTAGACAGATGAAGGGAATGTGGGTATCTGTTGATAGCTGAGTGGTAGTAGCTCGAAGCAAGTACAAGACTATCAAAGCAAATGTGTAAAAAGAGTGAACGGGATAGCTATGTATTCAATCCCTAGATGGTGAGGATCCCTGATGTCTGCTCGATCGAAGCTTGTGTAAAAGCAAGTATCAACAGAATATAGACCTGTGACCCTCTCTGGGGCTCTTGCAGATTATATACAACCGGTGAGGACTGGAATGTTGATAGGCGGCAGCATAGAGCACACGCTCAGGTGAGCTTCTGGAACCACCGTCCTGCCCCCATTGCTCCCATCCAGGCGTATTCTCGATGGCAACATTCACCTTGCTTCTTGGCACCGATTGGATATCAAACATCCAGGACGGATGTAGCAGGATCGGTAACGTGGAGACATGTTGGCTCATGTGGTGCGGTGATGGTTCAAGTCTGCCATAGCATTGGACGAGTGATGAGTGATGTGATTGACAGATACCAGTACTCAGCAGCGTGTAGTGAGTGAGTGGTGTTGTAACGTATGAGAGGCACACCTTCGCCAGGGCGGAATGGCACCGAAGTTGCCATCAACAGGGACATGGTCAATTCCAGAAGCGCAGCGGAACAGTCGATGGAAAGGCTAGTGATGCGGCTGGTGCGGCGCTTCCCGACCAGGCTCTCGGCATAATCTGTCAGTTCAGAAGACTTCTTCGACCTTTGTTAAGTATCCATTGCCCCCTGCTTAACAGCAGCAAATATCGGAGGCTGTTCGATAGTATCGCGGTGTGGCTTCATCCATGTGGCTGTCAAGTAATATGTAATCAACACCATCATGGACGCCGCAAGACCGGACCTGGTTTCTCGGAGCCCGGCGTTATGCTTTGGTGCAACGATACCTCTTCCGAGACATGACTGGAAAGACGGGATCCAATCAGACTGTGAAGGAATTAAGGAACAATAAGGAAGGAGTTCGGAAATGACCAGCTCAGATCCCACCATGACGAGGGACCCTGGAAAGCAGAATGTCCGTTGGGATCATGTTTAGTTGTCTGGCAAAAGCTCCGCTCGAAGCTGCCCTTGTTCAGAGTTCGGTATCGTAACATCATGCGAACCATGCCAGATGTACTGACTGGTAGATTTCATATTCATCCTGAAGCCTTTCAATCGACCTAGGGACTTGACGTGGGTCTGATGGCATTTTCTTGGGCAATCAAGGGTCATAATTCGTGACAACGATATCATGATAATTGGACGCTGCCTCCGGTAGGGTCACCATTGGTACCCTCTCTCCGGGCTTGTTTCTGCTTCGAGATGCGGTGGCATTTTGTGGGGTTAGAAAAGGGTGTGGTGGACAAAGTGACTGGAGGGAAGCACAATACACAAGCTGGCACCTCTGTTGTCTCTTTGACGTGACACCATCTAGATGTGGCGGCTGTATATCGCATGGTTGTGCGGCCGTGCCTCCAAGATGCCAGGAGATCAGTACAAGTTGTGATGGAAATCGTGGTCGGTGTTTTCGAGGATCTGCCACCTTTCATCCGAACTCCTGACCGTTGGACCCACTGTTTGTTTAGTGGATGCGCCACTGTGCCTTCCCCACAATCCACTACTGCCTCTGTGTTCACACTGGGTTATCGTCCAATCTAACGTGCATTGTGCCTGCATTAGCGGGTGGGATTCTGGATGTTCTGGAATCGGCCCGCTATAAACTCCATTTGTAACGACAATCTACCCTGCCAAACTGCACTGCAACCCGCTAACCCGGACAAATACCGGTTGGTTCATCCCAATATCGATCCTCCAGGACTTCGAACAAAAGGAATCACTGCATGTCTAGGTGTTTTCCAAGATCTTTTTACGATTCAGATACGCAAGCTGGCATTTGGCATCATTTATAAAGAGATATAAAGACCTTTGCTATACTGAGGCCAGTAAGAGCGGGGATTGGAGAAATAGAACTACGTAGCCATGCTATTCTTCATGATCTTCCGAGTGCTATTCTCGATGGAAAGACACAATGCGGCGTTCCGGCATATTCGTGATCCTTTAAATAAGATCCCCGTCTAGCAAGTCACGTCACGTTGCAAGGTCTGTGATCCTCTGTCCGTTGCTAC